GAAAGTCCGACGAAACAGTCTGGTACAGTCATGCTTTTTTTTAGTGTATAGCGAATATGACAACACACACACACACACACACACACACACACACAAGCTATTATATACTCATGCGTGCACACACACGCAGACACACACGCAGACACACACACAGACACACACACAGACACACACAGACACACACACAGACACACACAGACACACACGCAGACACACACACAGACACACATGGTGTGAGTAAAGTCGACCACTTTTCTCAAAGGTGTAGCTAACTCTGGGCAATGTGGTGAGTCCTTATCCATCAGGCAAATGCATTCTGGGCAGACTGTCGGGGTTCAACCTCCTGATGAGTCGGTGAAAGTCCGACGAAAGTCTGGTACAGTCATGCTTTTTTTTAGTGTATAGCGAATATGAAAACACACACACACACACAATGTATTCACACACATATGCACACACACACGGAGGAGAAGTAGATGGAGGAGGGTGACGACGAAGAAGAGAAGAATGAAGAGGAGGAGCGGTGCAAGTCGGAGTCGTTGATTAAAAAAACAAACAGGGCGGGAGGAACGGTGCAAGTCCTCCACCGTTTCTCCCGCCCTCTTTTTTAATCTCAATCATCCAACCAACCATTCAATTGGATCCAAAAAAAAAGGAGGAAGAGGAGGACGACGGCGATGAGGAAGACGAAGAGGAGGACGAGGAGGAGGATGACGGCGGCGATGGACGACGATGGCGAGGAGGAAGTGGAGGACTAGGAGGAGGAAGAAGAGGAGGAGGAGGAGGAGAAGGGGGAGGCAGATGAAGTGGACGAAAAGGAGGAGGAGAGCGATGAGAGAGACATGGAGGAGGGGGGTACGCACCTGCACGGGGGTTGGAGGATGCGTCGGGTGATGGCCGTTGGTGCGCGATTTTGGCAACGTCCAAAAGTCGTGCGCGGCGGTACAATGCGCAATTCGGATTTGAATTTGGCCCGATATCGGCCGTAGATATCTTAGATCTGACGGCCCAGAGCGGGCCATTTTCGTTTTCATTTTCGGAGGCCCTACGGGCCTCACAAAAATGGCCCGTCCTTCCCAGGGGTACTTCGTACCCGAAATCTAACCCCACAGGCCCAAAACCCCTACAAACCCGTACACCATTTTTTTAACCAGCCCGGACACCGGGCCCACCTTGGACGGCCGGGGGAGTTGTCCGATCGGACAACCCGGAACCAAAAATGGTCCAGGACGTTCAGGCTGGTAACATAGGTCAGAATCGAAATACGA